TACATGTCCTTTCACTTACAGTTGCAGAACGCACGACAATGTTTGTGAGGACTCACTGTACTGGCCCTGGGAGACCAGCGCCCCTTCTTAGCCAGGACTCAGCCCACCAGGCAAGCCACTGGGCAGAAGAGCCGGCCTACCTCGGACCCAGAGTGGGAACATCAGGGAAGATTTAGCCAAATTCGCCAACATCTGCGGTGAACACCAGGTTTTGTCTGTGGCTTATCCGTCACGTTGCCATTGGTTCTCATGAAGAATCTGCTTATTTAATGAGGCCCTTGGCCTCATTCTCTTCACGCTCGCCTTTCTAATATCCCCTTCCCCAACTGCCTCAGGGCCGTGCTCTTTAAAATGGAATTAAAGCCAAATTGGTGGCAGCATTCACGTTGGTTCTCAGGAAGTTAGTGTCTTCAGCCACCAGTTCATGGAGGAGGCTGGTGCTGGGGTGGCATTAGCCACCGTGCAACCGAGATGCCTGCACTTGTGAGGCCGGGCTCCAGCCAGTGAGACCAGGATGCTTTGGCTACAAATAGCAAGGCTCCATCTCAGACCCACTCACACCACAACCACGTCACCACTGTAACAGGAAGTCCAGAAGAGCAAGGTTTCCAGCAGATTCCAGTCCCGTTTTCTTGGCTCCGCCTTCTGCCAGGAGGCATTCTCTTTACAGGCACCAGCTTCCCTCATTGTCAGAAAACTGGCTTCCAGCCGAAACTGGTTTGGCTCAGTGGTAGAGCTTCCTTCTGCGAACTGAAGGGTCCCAGGTTCGATTCCGGTCAAGGGCATGTACGTTGGCTGCAGGCACATCCCCGATGGGGGATGTGCAGGAGGGGGCTGGTTGATGTTTCTCTCTCATAGGCGTTCTGGCTCTCTGTCTCTCTCCCTTCATCTCTGTAAAATATATTTTAAAAAAAACAAAAAAAACTGGCTTCCAGCATATTTCTTCCCGTTCCCTCCGCCTGTGCCGTCCCTGGACATGCAGCCCCCGGGGAACGCCATGCACTGCTGCTCGGGCTGGTCTCTGACACTCACTGGCTCAGGGTGATGCACGTTGGTTGCCTTGGAGCCTGGGGGTGAGGGTGGGGGATCCCCTTCTCCTAAGACACGGGCTGGAATGAGGAGTGTGTGAGTTTGCTGGGGCTGCCATAACCAAGTAGCACAGACGGGGTGGCATAACCAACAAACCTTGCTTTTCTCACAGTTCCAGAACTGTGATCACCAGAAGTCTGAGATCCAGACAGCAGTCAGTAGGTGTTTTTCTTCTGTGGCCTCTCTCCTGGGCTTGCAGGGGCTGGCCTCCCGCCCCTCCTCCCCATGGACCTCCCTCTGTGTGTGTCTGTGTCCCAATCTCTATGAGGACATCACTCATATTGGAGCTGGGACCCCCTGATGAGCTCACTGTAACCTCAGGTCTTTAAGGGCCCATCTCCAAGTGCAGCCACATCCTGAGGCCCTGGGGTCAGGACTTCAACATAGGAACTTGGGGTGAGACACCATTCAGCCATACCAAGGAGGAAATGCTTCTTTTCTGGAAGGCAGAAAGGGGGCATGGATCCCGGATGGGGAACCAACAGCATCCGTGATTTGGGGAGAGACACAAAGCACCAGGTAAAGAAACACATTCAGTCCAGATAGTGAGACGTGTTTTTTAAAGAAAATGAAACAGGGTAAGGTGATCGGGGGTCCTGCAAGGGGGCAGCGGCATCGGCAAGGGTGGCTGGATGGCCCGAGAAGAGGACCTTTGAGCCACCCCAAGGGAAGAGCTGAGCAAGGTGGGATGAGCTTGGCGGAATCCAGGGGCAGAAAGGAGGCTGGTGTGCCGCATGGCAGTGTCCTCATTGTGGTTAGGTGAGGAACACTCTCTTCCTGAGATGAAGCCTCGTGGATGGACAGGGAGGACACAGGGGTTTATGGGTTTACGATGCAGAAATCTTTACAGAAACATGACTCAGCAACTGTGAAAGGCAGGCCAGCTGGCTTTCATACAAGGGCCACTGCTCAGCCGCTGTACTCCTGCCAAGGTAGGTAAGCCAGGTGTGCGTGCTGTAGAGCCTGTTTTCCCCTCAAAAGTCTGTCTAAAGAGCTTCCTGGAGCTAAAGAATGGGATTGCAACAATCTAATTCTTCCTTTAAAGGTGGTCAGATTCAGAAAACTCTGTCAGCACAAACCCACTTTCCACCAAGTCTTACTCTCTGGTCTGCAGGTCAGCAGACATTTCCGTGGCTTTGCCGATGCCAGGTTTGGTTGGAAATCCTCCTGTGAGAGTGAGGATACCCAGATGTGGGCATTTGCCATGAGACTTCCTCTAACCAGAACCCTGGAAGAGCCAACTTCTCCAGGCACTGGTGCCAACCCTGCCAGTGATCTCTTTCCCCTGACCTCTGACCCTGGTGAGCTTACAGCCCATTGAGCTTTGATTGTTTTCACTGTTGTCAAAGGTACCCCAACTTGAGTACAAACCCTGTCCGTGGCAGGACTGTCTGTCTGGACAGAGCACCCGCAGAGCTTGAGCACAGAGAAAAGGACCCAGAGTATCTGGGAAAGCACAGGAAGTGAGATTTTATGGGATACAGGACCCCTCACACAGTGTAAAAATGGCCCGAAGGCCCTTTGAAACATCTCAGTTCAACTCAACCCAACTCAACAAGGACTCACAGGCCCATGCCCACTTCCTTTGACTCAGGCTTATGACTTCTTCGACCAACAGAGTGTGGCACAGGTGACCCTCTGTGACTTCTCGGGTGGTCAGAAGCTATGCAGATTCTACCTTGTTTTCGGGACACGCACCCTGGGAATCCTGAGCTGCCACGGCAGAAGTGCCACCCTCTGCGGCCACCAGGCTCTGAGAAAGCTAACCCACGTGGAGAGCCCAAGGAAGGGGTCCGTTTGCCAGTCCTGTCCGCAAGTTCCCCACCCAGGCCAACAGGCAAGTGTGTGCACGACCCTCAGGTCAGCTTTCCCCCGGCCAGGAGTGTTCGCCGCTGAGGGTTCCCAGCAGATGTTGTGGAGCAAGTGTGAAGCATCTCCCTGTGCTCCATCGAGTTCCTGGTGCATAGAGTCCATGAGCATAAAACGACTGTGTTAAGCTGCTAAGTCTGGGGATATTTTATAGCAGCAGCAATAACCAAATTAAAAACGAGGCTTTGTCCCCCAGGGCCTCCTTTCCCTCCTTTTCCACGTCAGCAACGTTGTGTCTCCATGAAGCTGCCTTTGCTTTGTGCACATGGACCCACTGTGGTCGCCCTGGGCCTCCGTATAGCCCACTGCATTCCCACACTCCAAGTTACAAGTCAAGCCAAACACCAGGAGCCGGGGTCTAACTGTCACTACACACGATGACAGTGTTTGCAACATCTGGGCAACATGGATGGTAGAGCTCACACATTCCCCGCGTGTGAGTGTCCCGCCATCATTTGCTGCTTTCATTTTCATAGCACTCACCCCTCCCTGAAAGCACAAGTCTTTCTTATTTACATGCTCATTATCTTCTCATTTGCAGAAATGTAAGCTCTGTGAGATCAGGGTCCCTGTCAGTCCACCCATGATATCCTAAACAACTATATCCACCCATTATATCCTAAACCTGGAACACAGGAGACATTCAGGAATTTTCATGCCGTTTATAAAAGCATACAGATTTTCATGCCGTTTATGAAACAAAAGCCTACATTTCACCTCTGCAGTGCGAGCTGGGTAAGGGGTGAGGCGGTGGCTGGTAGAATGTGACCATTGAATGTAATGTCACGTCTCTCCCGGGCACATGCTCAGATCTCCACAAACCCATCAAGTTTACTGTGACTCTGCAGTGGTATTTTGTTTTAAATGTATTTTCCTTTTTGTTTGCTTGTGTTGGAGGTGGTACACTTTGAAAAGAAGGTGAGTTTGTTTTGCCCTGGCTGGGATGTGGCTCAGTTGGTTGAGTGCCATCCCGTGTACCAAAAGGTTGCAGTTCGATTCCTGGTCAGGATACATGCCTGGGTCACAGGCTCACTCCCCAATAGGAGGTGTGTAGGAGGCAGTCGGTTGATGTTTCTCTCTCCCCTGCCCTCTTTCTTTAAAATCAATAAAAACACATTTTTAAAATTTAATTTAAAGAACAAGAAATTAAGGTGATTTTTAAAAGTTATCCGAAAACCTATATGCACCCCTATGTTCATAGCAGCACAATCTACAATAGCTAGAATCTGGAAACAGCCTAGGTGCCCGTCAGCAGATGATTGGATCCAAAAACTATGGTACATCTACACAATGGAATACTATGCTGCCATAAAAAAGAAGGAATTCTCATCATTTGCAGCAACCTGGATAGAATTAGAGAAAATCATGCTGAGTGAAATAAGCCAGTCAATGAAAGAGAAATACCACATGGCCTCACTCATTTATGGACATTAAAAAACATTATAAACTGACAAACCAAAAGATAGATATAAAGACAGTAAAGCAACAAGCAGACTGTAAAATTACACCGGGGAGAGTAGGGAGATCTGGGGGGAGATAAGAGATCAACCGAAGGACTTGCATACATGCATATAAGTTCAACTAATGGACACAAAACTCTGGGGAGGGAGGGTATGTGGGGGGGGGCAATGTTAAAATATGTACACAGATAATAATTTAATAAAAAAAGAAAAAGAAAAAGAAAAACTATAAAAAAATAAAATAAAATAAAAGTTATCCGAAACCTAGCTAACTTTTCATTTTGGGGAGCCAGTGATTCGTGGCTGGTCTCCTTGCTTCCTGGTGGCCGTTGACCGCCACTCAGGAGTCCAGTGTGAGCGGACGGGCAGGCTGGCTGGCTGTGGAGCAGCCCTCCACTCAGGCTCTCTGTCCTTCTTGGGGGAGCTTTGTGCAGATGTGAGAACCAGGGACACCCTGGGCCTTATTTGATTCAGGTACGTAAACCTCATGCATTGTTGTTAGGGAAAGAAAGTAGAATAGAATCTTTACGGAGGGAAAACTGGCCCCAGAGATACAAATGCAAAAATACAAAAAGACAAATGCACATTGCTGCAGTATTTTTAATATGAAAGGACTGGAAACAAACCCAATGTCAATCAAGGGAGGCTGCTTGGATAAACACTGTCCTTATAACAGAGCACTTTATAGAATGTTCTGGCTGGTTCTATGGAGTGTTAATATACTCCATATATACTGTTAAGGGGAAAAGCAGGACCAAAGAAAGTAAAACAGCATGCTATCCTGCACCATCTGCTTACAGTGTTTTAAAAGGAGGGGTAAAATGGGAAAAGATATTGATTATCTATGGCAGAAAAGGATAATAGGATGGAGGCAATATAAAATACAGACTTCTCTGCATACAGCGCATGTTGTGGATTTGACTTTGGAACCATGTAAATAGTTTACCTAATTATAAAAATATTAAAATTAAAATGCAGTCTTAAAATTTAAGCAAGCCCAAGTGAATAACCATAACCCTAATTCAAATTTGGGTTATAACCACAGAGAGAGGAACTGTTCTGAGTTATTTTAAAACAGTAACTTGACTGTACATTCTAACGGCATAGACCCCAGGACAGTAAGACTTGCAAAAGAAAACTTGGTATTGTCATTCTAAGGATTTAAGACAATGTATAATTATCTTGGTAATTTTGAGAAGGTTTTTTTTTTTTTTAAATGAGAGGGGGGGGAAAAGCAGGTCAATGAAGTTACATTAAAAACACTACAGTCTTGAGTTGAATTGGGAATACCAATATAAACTCATGTAGTGTTTTTCTCTTAAAAAGACAAAAACCTAAGAGCACATATTTCCTAGTTCTGTCCACAAAACCAAGAAACAATGACCAAACCACTACTACTGAGCACTCCTAGCACCAGAGTTTGAGCTCTAATTATCATTCCCCACTGAAAGGAACCAGAGTCCCAGGGGAGATGGATGGCTTCAGGGCTGTGGCACAGAATATACTAGATGAGCTTGAAACATCTTGTCAAGATCACTTCAAACTATCAAAGACCACCAGGGTCGTGTCACAGGAATCAGCCAACTTGAAGCAGTTCCCAAGCCAGAGCAGCACCATCTGAGCAACGGGAAGACTGAAACTGCAGTGCACTGAAACTACATCAGCTCTGTTTAAGCCACGAGTTTATCACCTACTCAGCACACAAAACACTTCTCACTCTGTCCACCTAGGACACTGATGAAGAAGAAACAGTCAAGGAATTCCCCTGCCTTCCCTATACTGACTAAAACTCAGGATAACGGAATAAATGATGAAAAGAGGTTTCTCTTTACAAATGTGCCAGCTAATAAACAAAGAGGAAACAACAGCACCAGAATATCATTTGCAATGCCTAATGGAGCCACGGACCTGTTAATAAGTATCAATGGCTGCTAACATCAGAAAAGAAGAGTCAATAAGAGATTTTATAGCACCCACTGGAAGTAATCTTCAAAACTAAACCTAACGGGATCCTGATTAACTCTCTTTATAAACACCTATATATAAAAAAGCCTAATGGACCGTTATGACTGGTTGACCACAGACGCTCAATGCAGGAGCTGCCCCCTGGTGGTCATTGCGCTCCCACAACTAACTGCCCATTGCCAATCAACCTCTTGCAGACACCCATACCTTGCTGGCCAGCCCCGAGGTTCCAATTGGGACTGGGTGACACTGCCTGATCAGCCCTGATCACTGGCCAGGGACCCCACGCATGCATGAATTCATGTACCAGGCCTCTAGTTGATATAGAAAAAAAAAAACAGAGAGGACAGAGGAACACAGTAAAAGACCTAACAGAGAGGCATCCAAGAAAACACAGACTGTGAGAAATTCTACAGGACAAATAACCCCGTCCACTGTCTTCTAATAAGCCTGCAGTTTCTCCAAACATATGCTAAGATGTACAGATGAACGGAGACTAAAGAGGCATATCAACAAATTATAGATCATGGACCCAATTCAAATAAACATAAAGTCATGGACCATTCAGAAATATTTGAAGGTATTAAGGAATTATTAGGTATAATAATATTTTTAGGTATGATTGGAATTGAAGTTGTGCTTTTTAAAAAGTACATAGGGTTTAGAAATACATGCTGGAACATTTACAGATGAAATGCTACGAGTGATGTCCAGGATCTGCTTTAGAATCATCATTGGTGAGGTGAGAGTAGAGATGGGAGAGACTGACCGTGTGCTAATCACTGAGGCTGGTGATTCTGACATGGGCTTATTACACTAGTCTCTCTGCTTCTGTATGTGTTTGCAACTGTGCACGATACAAAGTTTGAAAACCCCACTGCCAAATACCAGGAGCCGATGTCTCTTGGCAAGGGTACAAGTTAATGCTGTAACTGTTAGCTGCTCTGGCCTGCCCAGATTGTGAAGGGACAAAGGAGAGTTGGCTTCCACAGGGAACATGAGGTGAGAGAGGAGAGAGAACTCTATCAGGTATTACCCCCGGAGAAGGCCCAGGCATGATCCACAGGAGGGCCCGAGCAGCTGGCACGCTATGTGGTTCTGCAAGGGCAGGTCTCGGGTGCTTTAGACTGGCCTGTGTGGCATCCAAGTCATCACCTCACAGTGCAGGTGGGGCACCCGTCCTGGACAGCCTCCACGCGCCTCACCCGGAGCCGCCCTGCCCCGGCAAGAAGAGGGAGCACACCTCTGGGACACCTCAATTTCAGGAATGTGGCCAGGCCCTGGGACTCTCCCTCCTGGCCTTCTGCCCAGGGGCTGGGTGACAGGCAGGCTTCTGATCTGTCACAGCACCGCTTGGAAATACAAGGCTTGGATAAGTTTCAATAGAATCTTAACAACCTGGAAAGCAGATTTGCAGGCCCCGGTTCTGCTGTGGCAGAGATGACAGCTAAATCCATTCGAGGAGAAAAACTCACTTTTCGGCTGACAAATTAAGATAAGGATAGTGTCCCAGAAACATCCTGATGTGGGCTGCACCACTCACCTGGCAACACACATCCTCTGGCTCCATCTTACACCAAGGCAAATACAAAGTTTTTTAAAATAATGCACCTGAGGTGAATCTCTCCTGGATGAACATGTATTTGGATACTGAAACCTCCTCATGGCTCAGCCAACTTCTAAGTTTTAACCTGAATGGTGTCTCCCACCCCCGCCCCGCCCTAGCCGGTCACTGTAGGACATCCCCCCCTGGGATCAATGGGATTCAAGCACCTTCTTAAACTCCCCACAGGCGGGTATTGCCTTACCCATCTCCCATGTGGCCAGCCCGGATTTCCCCGGAGGGAGCAATCCCACATTCACCCGTGTGTTCTCCCTAAGTCACTCATCTTAGTCGCTGTGCCTGGGCGGGAAAAGGAACAGGGCCAGCTCATGTTCAGGGGCGGGCCAGGTGGCAGCGAGAAGCAAAAGGCTTTACGTACTCTGTTAGAACACCAGACTGTGTTTTGAGATACGATTTCTCAAAAGGAATTAATTCAGGCAGAATCTACTCTTTAATGGTGATCTCTGGGTCTAGAAGAATCAGTGTGGGAGTCCCAGGCCCTGCATCCCTCTCTGGTGAGAAGGCTGGCAGGCACGTCACAGAGGAGGCACAAACAACAGCAGAACACTAGGTTGTGGCCCAGGACCCACCCCGGGCCACACCTACAGGGCACCATTTGACCCTCAGCATGACTGTCATAATATAGGACTCGCACCACCTCAGACATCTATGAGCCTCCCCTTCCCAGCTAGCTCAAACCCATAGTGCCATTCGCACAGCATTTTCAAAAGCTGCCCATCCTCTGGAAAAGAGATTTCAGAAAATTAGTGCATCATCAAAGGGAACAACCTTAAAGCAGAAAACAGAAGCGACGGCAGCGGTTCGGGTTTTTGGCTGCCCTTCCGTGCGCCTGGGCCAGGGTGCAGCGCTGCCCTGGACACCTGGTGCCTAGGCAGGTGGGCAGGTGGGCAGGTGGGCAGGGAGGGCCAGTGTCTCGCAGTCAGTGCCCACAGCCGAGGCTTTGAAGAAACGTGAGTCCAGATCGCCACACCCTGTGCTCAAGCACCCTCAGAAGTCGTACGGGGACACGAAGATGGTGACCTTTGACAGGTGGTTGGCCTGGAAGGAGCGGTCTAGGTATTCCGACATGTCAACGTCCACCTCCAGTGTCTGCGGCCCCTCCAGGGGCTGGACGAGGATCAGCTCCCCTGTCTGGCGGTCTGCGCGCTGCATCACAAAGTGGCCGCGGCTGTTCCCACCGACGATGCCAAACCGCAGGCTGTTGGGGCCGGGGCGGCCGGGCACCGAGGCCATGGCCATGCGGAAGAGCGTGATGGGCGTCGTCAGGTTGGAGGGCAGAGACAGGTAGTGGAAGGAGATCGTCTTGGGCAGGTGGTGGCAGGTTCTGCTGTCCATGGGGCAGGGGTTTCGCTCACACTGACTGGATCAGAGAGGCAAGATGTAGGCAGTCAGCCTCCGGGAGATGCAGAGGGGCTCCGGCTTGTCCCCTGCCTGCCCTCTTGCAGAGGCCATTGGAGTGACCTCTCCCAGCCACTGGTCCCCTCACCACAGGTGCCTGGAGCTACAGGCAAGTGAGTGTGGCTGGCCAAGGGAGGGGCACTCTCCTAATCCACTTGTTTATGCATGTATGTGTTCCTGTGTGTGTGTGTGTGTGTGTGTGTGTGTGTGTGTGTGTGAAAGTACATGTGTGTGTGGGTATGCATGCATCTTATTACTATAGCTGTTACAGAAAAATAAAGCCAGGGGAGATTAAATAGCAATGCTGACGCTGTATTCAGACCAGGCCATGTCTGCCTGTCTGCACATGCTGAGACCTCTATCTAAGGTGGGGGCTCAGGCAGGTAGCCAGCGACCTCCTGGGATATGGCGCTCCCCATGCTGAACTTCCTAAATCTCTAAGGGTCATTCATTCCTACAGCTGCACACCCTGTCTGCCTTAACCATGGGGGCCAGGGTCCGGAGGAAGGGCTGGCAGTTCCCATATGAACACGGGTACAGGCAAGCTAATTTGGTGAGTCTCTTCATCATGGGAGTTGGTGCAGGTTGAATACTAGCCCGGCTGTTAACAGGGATGTCCCCAGGGCTAAGATGTGCAGGCCCCTCTGTCCTTCACTCTCACTAACAGCTGCCATGCTCAGGGCCTGCCTTTCTCGCTGCCCTCGCTCTCCTGCAGCCCAAAGCACTTCTGGTATCTAAGCAGGCAAAGTGGGTTCGCTCTAAAGAGGATGCTAGAGTTCTTGGGATCTTTCTAGAAGAAAATGCACAAACTTTATCACGGTTGTAGTTATTCTCCTCAAAGGCCTGCCTCCCATCTTTCCAAAAAAAAAAAAAAAAAAGCTCTATTGAAGTGCACGGCTCCCAGAAGCCCTTCTAGCACCTCGGAAAGCCAGACACAGGTTAGCAAAGCATGCAGGATGTTCTGTGTGAGCACCAGAAGGTGGCCCTCTCCCAAATCAGTGTGATGGACACCTGCCTCCTGGCCGCATCACCCGGCGGCCTTCCCTCCCTGAAGTGCCCCCTCCCTCCGCGTCCGCAGGCAGCACTGAGAAATGACTCCTGTCTGGCAAACTGGGCTCTGACTGCACAGAGCAGCGATGCATGTTCTGCAACTGCTACAGGGACACGGGAGCTCAGAGAATCCAGACTCCCAGCCTGGCCCCGCTCATCTTTCCTCCGATGTAACTGCACCTTCTCCCAAGACCATTTGGAAAACCCAGCCCAGCCATGGGATACTCACAAGGGAGACGTCTTCACGTAGCTCACGTTGCCGCTGCCCTCTGGGCACTCGGGGCTGACACACTGGAAGCCCCCACCAGTGTTGATGCATGTGGTCCCCCGGGGACACAGGTGCTGTGAGCTCACACACTCATCAATATCTGAAATACAGGCACCCAGTTAGGGTGAAGACCGCGACGTCCCCTCCAGCACTGACAGGGCCACTGGAGTGTGGCGTCCCACACGTTCCAAGCTTTCCAGAGTGGGGAACTCTCCTCCCGGGATCCTGTCCTCCCTCCGGGGTGTGACAGCTCGCAGGGGGGGCTGGACAGCACAGGGGAGTGCTCCTGCCACAGCACTTCTCTCAGACCTGCCTCGCCAGCCAAGGTGCCCTGCAGTCCCCCCTCATGGCTGTTATCATGCCCTTTATGAGCAAATCATTGAAAGCTTCCTACTCAGCCTCACCCCCTGCCCAAAGCAGATGGCCTCACTCTCCTCTGTGTGAGTTCTCTGCTCCCTTCACAGGTGAGTTTCCCCGCTGAAGTGTGCATTTCTTCCCAACCCCACACAAACACTGTAGGACGGACAGATGGACAAGTAAATGAATGAGAGATGGAAGGGTTAATGGGTGAATGGGTGGATGGGTAGATGGATGGATGGATAAATGAATAGATGAGAAAGATGAATGGATGGATAGAAGAGATGGATAGATGGAGCAGACGGATGGAGATGAATGAGAGAGATGGAATGAGGGTGGATGGACAGGTGATGGCTATCTGGATACCTTCTCCCACACCAATCCCAGGCTGCCATTTCTCTGAGTCCCACAGTGGAACCTCAATAGGATGTCACTGGGGAGCCACCTCCTCTCGGTTCCCACAGACTATGGAGCCTTCTTCCCTCTCTTCCTCCTCCTTCTCCCCCAGCAGCTCAGAGCCACAGTCCAGGACCAGCTGGGTTCTCTTCTGTGTCCTGTCTCCATAGGTGACAGCGAAGAACACGGATTTGTCCCTCCTCTAACGTGAGGCGGCCTGGGTAAGCAGGCCCAGTTTTCTGCAACCAGGAGACCTGCTATAGCATCAGGGTTCCAGGGCTGAGGGTGGGGTGATCGCACCAGGGCACCGGTGCTTCCCCTTCCCACTCTCAGGTGGAGATGCAGCCTGCACCAGCCATGGAGAAGGCGCCCTACGCCCAGAGCCACATGTCTCCTCCAGACTGCAGGGCAGGGGGCCCACTGGCTGCTCTTCCTTCGGGTCCAACCCTGGCTAACGGCACCACTGAATGGGAGGACATAGCCTGACCTTGCAAGCAGGCACTTGCAGAAGGTCACAGGAGACTATTTGCCAGGATGGTTAAGCAACTCGCTTTCCTATTTATGTCAATGCAGTGCAGCCTGATGAGAGGTCCTTTTGTTGGCGGTCTTTTTGTTCTTATTTATTGATTTCAGAGAGAGGGAGGGAGAGGGAGAGAGAAATAGAAACATTAATGAGAGAGAATCATTGATCAGCTGTCTCCTGAATGCCCCCTACTGGGGACCGAACTGCAACCGGGGCATGAGCCCTCATTGAGAATCGAACTGTTCATGGGTCCATGCTCAATTACTGAGCCACACCTGCCAGGCTGTTGGTGTGGTGTTTTTTATTTTTATTTTTTTTATTGTTTTTCCCCCCAAAAGTATATTTTTATTTATTTCAAAGAGGACGGGAGAGGGAGAGAAAGAGAGATAGAAACATCAATGATGAGAGAGAATCATTGATCACCGTCTCCTGCACACCCCCCACTGGTGATTGAGCATGCAACCCATGCATGTATCCTTGATCAGAATCACACCCAGGACCCTTAGTCCACAGGCCAGCGCTCTATCCACTAAACCACCCTGGCCAAGCTGCTGGTGGATTTTTATATATCTGAGACTTTGACCCCCAGAACCTCCACTGCACCCCATTCTGAAGTCCTGGCTGGTCACAGGAGTAGCAGTGACCAGGTGTGAAAAGCCCCTCTCAGTCCCACAGCACCTGCCTCTGGTGCAGGTTCACTCACCCTCACAGCTCTTCCTGTCGGGCAGGGTCCGGTACCCGCTGGGGCAGGCACAGCGGTAGGAGCCAGGCGTGTTCACACAGGCGTGCATGCAGAGCCGGGGGTGCCCCTCCTGCTCGTAGAGCTCACACTCATTCACATCTGGGGACAGAAGTGCCTGGGGTAACTCCGGGGCCATGCGGTCAGCCCCGTCCCCAGCAGAGCATGGGAATGGGGGGGGGGGGGGGGGGGTGTTTACTCCCATTCTGCTGAGCCAAGGGCCAGAGGACTTCGGGAGGAGTGAGAGAGCTGACCAGGCAGCTTCCAAGGCTCCTCCAGCTAAGGCTGAAGCCCCTGGAAAGGGAGACCCTACAGAGGCTGGCCAAGCAGGGCCCCAGGGCAGCCCAGAGAGCCTGTCCCTGCTGCACCCCCAGACTCCCGGCCTAGTTGGTGGCCCCCTCTTTGGGTTTTGTATCTGCTGCAGGAAAATGAGGCTGTTGGCACTAACTGACCAATTCTCAGGCCCAAACGACTGGTCTCAGTTGTTCACAGAAGGAACGTTGGAGGGTAAGATGGTCACTGGAAGTGGCCTTGTCCATACAGCCAAGCCCACCTCTGTGCTTCCAGCCAGGGTGCAGAGACAAGGGCTCCAGGCCAGGTTCTGATGGGGGTGAGCCTGAGACCCCTGGCTACTTGCTCATGACGGCCGCCTCCTGCCATGTCTAGGTGTTCACTCCGTCTTAGCAGCCACCAGGCCAGCAGGAACCGGAAACCACAGTGGATGGGACCCCTCAGGCGCTGCTCCTTCGCGCTCCGGGTGCAGGCTGGGTGCGCCCATAAGTGGGCGGGCGACGGTGGTGCCCCTTCCCCCCTGTGTACTCGTCCTTGGCAGGCAGGCGCCCCGTTGTGTCCTCCCCACTTCGCATCTCCTCCCCCTGCCGCCTACCTACCCTGGCAGAGGCTGTCGCCGCCCGCGGAGCCGCTCAGCTGGAAGCCGGCCTCGCAGCTGCAGTGCCGGGTCCGCTCCACCTGCGCGCAGCGGGGCGCGCGGCTGAAGGCCGGGTCGTCCGCCTGGCGCTCGGGGGCGGCTGCGGGGAGAAGGCGAGTCAGGGCCACCCCTTGTCCCCTACCCTTGGGAAAGGCCGGGGAGCCAGAAGGAGGGCTCACTCTGCAGGCGGAGGAAGCGGTGTGTGTGTGTGTGTGTGTGTGTGTGTGTGTGTGTGTGTGTGTGTGTTTCATCAAAACCCCAAGGACAGCCCACCCAGGGTGCACGGCGCACGCTGCACCCACCACCGCCAGGCTGAGGGCGAAGGTGGGCGAAGCCGCCTCTCTGTTCGGAAAGGCTTCGCACACGGGCAGTGCTGGCAGCCGGCACCGCGGCGGGAGGGTTCTTTTGTCTTGTGCTCTTTTTCTTTTCTACAAGGGTCTACGCTTTTGGTTTGTTTCTGAACCGAGAACAGAAATAAATTTTCTCATCAGAAAAAGGTGTTTGTTTTTGGAAGTTGTCGAAGGATTTGCGCACTCTCCTGTGGTTGGGGAGGTGGCGGATGAACGGGGGTGAAAGGAGGGGGGATGCACAGCAGAGCACGGCTGTGCGGTCCCACTTAATGGTCCTGAGAGGAGTCGGACTGGGAGACGGAAGCAGCAGGGGGGCTGGAGGAGGGACTGGGCGCAGGGTCCCAGCTCTGCAACGCGAAAAAGCTCAGGGACGGATGGCTGCAGGACCACGTGAACATTCTCAGTGCCTGAACCTGCCACTGAACCGACACTTAAAATGGCAGCTTTTATGTGGTTTGTGTTTCACCACGACAGATAAAAAAGGTGAATGGGTTTAAGAGGAAGTACTGCTCGAGACACCCCCCCACCCCCCCTCCGAGCTGGAAAGACACAGGTGAGTAAGCTCAGGCATCTGCCAGAAGGTCCATGGAGGCTGCCAGGCAGGAGCTGGCTCTGGTGCACCCGTCACTCCCTCCTTCCCTCCTCGGAGGAGGCCGTCAGCCTCCAGGACCAGCACAGCTAGGCCCATTTCCTTTTCTGTCCTGTTTGTAAGGAGGAGAGGCCGTGGGGCTGCCCAGAGGAGCCTGCCTCCACCTCCGTGGGACAGAGAGCAGCCCCCGGTGACCAGCTGGAGGGGCCCTGAGCTCCTGGCAGAGCAGCCTCATCCTGAGAAAACTCCGAAGGGGATCGGGACACATAAAGCCGCACATCTCTGGGCCAACACTTAAAGGGGACCTTGGGCTGGTCCAGTGCAAGGACACTGAGTCTTGACAAAGCTCCTAGTCTGCGGACACTGTGCTAACCGCCCGACCCTCCCAACTCCGAGCCCCTCCCCCCCATTCCCGACTGAGATGCCACACTGAAATCACACAGGACGTGCCAGGCTTTGGGGGCAAAGGAACAAGATATATTTAGGATCTGGTCTATTTATGTCGTTTGGGTTGCACCACAATGTGGGAGCCCTGTCCCCCCTACAGGTTCCTTGCATTTTCTTGCCATCCACATGGCAGCCACCGTGTCTTCCAGGCCTTCCGGCTGGAGATCCGCGGGGACTCCGTGCGGACAACCCCACCACACTACGCAGAGGAGTGGTCGCCCAGCTCTAAGGACACCCTGCCTCTCACAGCAGCTATGGGCTTGAGGTGTGGTGGGAAAGGAAGTCACTCTCAGGGGAAACACTGACAAGCGAAGGTGGCCGCAAGGAGACACCTCAGCCCAGCCCCGACCCGGCAGTATTCAGGCTGTGAGTCAGTCCTCCCACTTGAATTTTCTCCCATAAAAGGCTCAAAACTCTGGTTACACAAAAGCGCTAAACTCCATCCCCCGTAGCCACATTGGGGATGGGAGAGATGGATGGATGCGGCGCAGAGAGGAAGGGCCCACATTGGCGTGCGTGCATCTGGTGGCCCCTGACCAGGGTCCCTGCAGCGGATGTCCTCACCCAGCCCCTCACGGCCACGTACCAGTCTGGGCCTGGTGCTGACAGCGGCTCCCGGTCCTTCCCGGAGGGCAGATGCATGTGTACTGGTTGACTCCTTCTAAACACGTCCCACCATGCTGGCAAGGCTGGCTGGAGCACTCGCTGATATCTAGAAAGACACGCAATTTTCAAACACAAGCCTGAGTTCTGATCCTAAAAAAAACACACAAAACACAAGATGGGTGAACAGTCTTTACGTTGCAGTTTGATTTGGGCACTCCGTCTCCCCCTGCAGCCCACCTCGCTCAGCAGGCCACGCACCTGCCGGCCTGGAGCTCCGCCGGTGAGTGCAGCCATCACCTGCCCCTGCCAGCCAGCTCCCAGGTAGAACACCTTTGGACAGGAACTCAGTTTGGGGGAGTTATAGGGGGGAAAGAGGGATGGCCCATGGGATTACAGAGATGGGGAAATGCACTTCCCAATCCTGACCCTGGGCCTCTCCTTAATGTCGGAAAAGGAAACTTGCTTGCTCATGCATAGTCCCATGGAAAAGCTACATAGAGAGATACACGTTTAACAGTGTAATAGTTTTTTTCCCCTCTGTTGGTAGTTTTTCTTATTTACACTTTGTTTCCACAATGAACATTCATACATTTCCAAGTCAGGGGGGGGAAATGATATTTTGGGACTCTCAGGTCCCACCTGCGTGTTGTGAATCCCGTAAGCCCAGTTTTAGCGGTGGCCTTCAGGCACTGGGGCAGGTCTGGGCCTCCCCGGCTGACCACAGCGTCCTGGGGACGGTCCGAAACACCCCGAGTGGGGCCCCAGCAGCCTTTTTTGCCGCGTCCTTCGAGAGGAAGGGAAGGTCTTTTCTCCCGATGAGAACAGCAGCCGTGTGGGGCAGGTTGGCTGCCCCGTGGCTGGGGTGTCGTGAAGACTGTGACATGGCTTGTCTTCATCGTGGAAGGACCCGGCCCATCCAGCTGCTGGGAGGAGCCATTTCAACTTCTCAGTGACCCCAACCTGGCTGTGCTCCCCGCACAGGTTCTGTTTTCAGATGGCCGGCTTCCAGGAATGTGCCGGCAGACACCCTGCACACAAAGCTCCGGGCCTGGAGCTCCCGTTTCTACCTGTTGTCCAGCCCGTTGGATCTCACCAGCAGAGTCTGAAAGCAGCAGACCTCGAGGCCCTGAGGTCGTGGGCCCAGGGCCAGGGTTTGAACACGGGAGTCTTTCAGTCTGGCCCCGGCGGGACCGGCGCCATGTGGGCCCCCAGCCAGGCCTCTGGCGGGAGGCACCGAGCCCGGTCGCACCTGGACAATGGGGTGCAGGTGGGGTGGGGGTGGCACCCAGGTGCCCCAGGCCCCTGTGCGCTGTCTCCCCCTCTGGACCTGGTGGCCCAGGTTTTCATTTCCAGACAGGATCCACACAGACGCTTATCTTGATCCACTCTTGGAGGCGTGCCATGGCGTGCCATCTGTGTCCTGACTGAGTCCTGCTGTCATCACATGATGTCTGTCCCCCGCAGAGGCACTTAGTTAAGTGCACGGCGACTTCAGAGCTGCAAAGGGGGGCCCTGGAGAAGTAGTGCAGAGGCTGGGAAGGCACAGGCACTGTGACGAGCCTGGCACTGGCCGCGTGGCTCAGCTGGTCGGGCATTATCCCATTCACCAAAGCGTGGTGGGTTCAATTTCAGGTCAAGGCACATACCTAGGTTGCAGATTCGATTCCCAGTCATGGTGTGTGCAGGAGGCAACCGATCGATGTTTCCCTTTCACATCAATGTTTCTCTCTTTCTCTCAAATATGAATAAAACATCCTCAGTGAGGATTAAAAAACAAAAAAGCACTGTGATGATTCTGTTGCCCTACTGACTGTGAAGTGAGCCCTTACACCGTATCCCTGGACCTGAGCTGTGTTTCACATGCACGATCTGACCTCTTGTCCCTTTATTTCTAATGCTTTCCTGTGTTCTGTCATCTAGTTTCAAACTTCCCATTTCTCCAATCACCTCATTTCTGAGGTTTTCTAATTTTTTACTTATGCCGTCCTTTCACCATTTTTATCTTTTTAAAGTTTCTTGCTGCTTGTTTGGAAATATTAGTCACAGCTCTCATCTGTTTTATGGGCATGTCTTTCTGGCATTTCTTCATTGTAGACTTGACTCTCTGTTTTCTTGCAATAGTTTGCGTGGGCTTGACAAGTCTATGACTCATCTCCAGGGGAGTGCGTGTTCCTGTGGAGCTGTTCTTGCTCCTGCACCCCAGGCCACAGCCCCGCTGTTTTTTCACGTGCGTCACACTTGCTCAGCTCTGCCCTTTCCAGTCCTCCCCCCACTCTTGTCTGGACCATCTCTTCCATTTGCACCCATTTTCCTTGTTGGGCTCAATTCGATTGTCCTCCCACAGAGTCTCCACCATATTAGGCTTGTCCTGGAACACCCTGTGCATTGCCAGTGGCCAGACTGTTCCAGAGACAGAGACTCCCTACTGAGCCCACGAGCCCACACCTGAGGAGCCTGGCCTAGGAAGGCCAGTAACAGTTACTATTCGCACAAGAGATCTGGCGGCAACAACAGCATCAGCTGAAACAGAAGACAAAGAGGAACACATTGAAGATGCTCAGGGAAAGGCATCTCACCGGTGTTTTACGTCCCATCAAAATGACACCTGATGGAGAAGCTGCACCTTTCAGGAATGATGGGGAACTCAGGGGATTGCCCCCTGGAGGGACCGACTGGCAGATGTCTGCATGAGGACGGGGACATCACCCAGGGGCAGTGTCACAGAAGGGAGAGGACCACGGAGGGAACTTGCCAATAGAAGTGTCCAGTGCTGTCCGGCCCAAACAGAACAAAACTCTGCCCAGAGCTGGCCGGGCCTGTGGAGTTAGCTCCCAGTTTAGAAGGAATGCAGAGACAAAGGTGCCAACGCCCAGTTACACGTAAGCGCCAAGCATGGCGGCTGCAGCGACAAGGCTGTAGGACGCACAGGAAAGTGGTGAAGAGAGTGAACCCCAAGAGGACGCATCACAAGGGGAAAACCTCTTGTCCTTTTTCTTTGTCTTGATATGAGATGATGGAATCTCTCAGGGTCAAGGGAAATCCAGATACAAGAAATCCAGAATCTCTCAGGGTCAAGGGAAATCCAGGGTCAAGGGAAATCCTGGTGTGTCCGCCTGTGACACCACTTGTGCTTCCTGGCTAGCTGTTGATTGCTCTGCGAGCTGGTACCTGTAACCACCCTTCAAACCGGGTTCTTCGTTCTCCCCAGGGAGGGGAACCCAAGCCGAGACCCGTGGGTGTGGCGCCGCTCGCCTGTGCTTCTCAGGCCAACCCTCACGCCGGGACAGACGGCGCATAGCTGATGCTCCTGTATGTTTGCAAGCTCCTCACGCGTTCAAATGCTGCTCCTCAGAACCCACTTGGCATGTCCTATTTGCGTTTCCCTTCACTTCTTGGGCTACAATCATGGACATTCTGCCCCCGCAGACGTGCTATGAGCCTGGCCCTGGAAATGACTGGTATGCACGAAGATTGGACCATACATTTCTGAAAAGCCAACACGTGACACGTGCCAAGTCTGATTTCTCTCGGCATCAAAGGAGCACTGTTTCCAAACCCAACAGTGAGCAGAGGAGGCTTTCACGCTCACCCAGCGGCCTCCCCGGAGCCGGTCACACCAAGTCCAAATCAGACACAGAGGACACCCGAGGGACTTCTTCACCCCACAGGCCACCGGCGCCCTCCCATGCAGACGGCAGCCCAGAATGAACGAGACAACAGGAGCGTTTCTGTGCAGCGTCTCCCTCTTGTCCTTCCCCACAACCCACAGGAGGCGGGCGTCTCGGCCCCAGGGGGGGGGGGGGGAGGAGCGGAGCGAGGTGCCGAGGAACAGATGCTGGGGTCAGAGTGCTGGCGTCAGAGTGGATCAGCTTGGCCTGCCCCCCAGCTCTGTGGTCTCAGCCATTCTATGCCTCAATGTCCCCACAGGCAAAACAAGACTAGATTGTAGGGAGGATTTAGGCAGCTGGGACAGGGGGGGAACTGAGTCATCAGACACGGCGTCCGCTTTCCTGCGACTGAAAAATCAGGCTGAAGAGTCCTGAGGAATGCGCCCTCCTCCCCAGCAGGGCCCGGCCCCGGGCGGGGAGGAGGGACTGACCTCTGCAGTGGGGCTGCTCCCCGGTCCAGGTGCCGTTGGGAAGACACACCACACTGCTGGGCCCCACCAGCTGGAACCCGGGGTCGCAGGTGAAATGGACTTCGTGGTCCACTAAGTACTTGCTTCCAAACTTCCTGCCGTCCGGAGGGGCGTTCAGAGCAGGGCAGGAAACTACGGGAGAAAGGGAAGGACCACAGGGAGTTAGATGTCACTGTCCACGACCAGGCTCCTCCGAGCGCCTCCTCCAGGCTGCGCGCCAGGCTGCAGCTTCTAAATGTCTCATTGACTCCTCCGAGCGCGCGTGGCCGGGGCAAGCACTGCCCGCTCAGTGAAAGATGAGGACCGCGGCTCAGACGCCCAGTGCTGGGCGTGGGCCTGTCCGCGTGGGAAGCTCAGGCTGGGATTCCCCACAGCCGTGCTGACACCTGACACTCTGGGAGCCTCAGGCCGGGCGTGGCCTGTGTCCAGGCCTCGGCATCTGCTCTTCTCTCTGCCTGGGATGTTCTCTTCACAACATCCCATCTCTGGCTCCTTCTCACTCACATGGGTCTCCGCTTGAATGCAACCCAGTCCCAGAATGTCCTCAGACCACCATGCTTTGCTAAAAACCCCCAGGGCACCTGCTATGCGGTGATCTCCCTTCCCTTCCTTCCTAGACTTGTGCCCAGGCATCTTATCACCGTGTTTGTTTCCACACCTGTTGTCACTTTTCTCCCCAGGAAGCAGTTCAAGGGGGCATTATGCCTGGCCTGAGTCCCTGCTGCATGCCCAGCCCAGCCCAGCCCAGCCCAGCGCCTGCCCCACAGTGAGCACCCAGTTCACAATCCTTGAACACAGGAGTAAATGAAAAGTTATCTATTGTGTTCTTGCTATGTGCCAGGCACTAGTTAGGCACTTGGGAGAACCAGTGAACAAAACCCTGCTCTCTGAAGCCCTGTCTATCAGGAGAGAGACCATTGCTAACCCAGACCCAGGAGCAGGCGGCAGAGTGAGGTGAGAAGGGGTGTCGTGTAGGAAACAGAGCTGGGAATCCTGCGGGGTTGCACAGTGAGGGCTGTAGTTGTGAATGTGGTGGTCAGAGGAGGCTCTCTGGAGCTAAGAGTTAAAGATGATGGAGGCATAACCTCGCAGAATGCAGGACAGAGGGGACATGCGGTGCCTGACAGGCCTGAGGAATGTGGAGGGGACCGCTGTCAGGAGGGAAAGGAGTGGGTCTTTTTGGGGTGAAAAAATCTTTAAAAACCTCAAAGAAAGGAAACTACCTGCTGGAGCAACTCACAGGTTAACCATACCTGCATAGGTGGAATAGTATCTGGCACATAGTAGGTGCTCAGTAAGTGTTAGTGGAATGAAAGAATGGATACAGATCAATGCAAATCAATTTGCAGCCCAGGCGGCATGGCTCAGTGGTGAGCATCAACCCAGGAGCCAGGAGGTCAGAGTTTGAGTCCCAGTCAGGGCACATGCCCAGGTTGCAGGCTCAGTGATTCTCTCTTATCATTGATGTTTCTATCTATCCCTCTCCCTTCCTCTCTCTCTCTCTCTCTCTCTCTCAAAAAAAAAAAATCAATTAAAAACATTAAACATACTTAATAAAAAATCAATTTACAGCAATGATGTAGTAAAAAAAACTGGATAAAATATTTTTATATATTTTTAAATCTTCATAAAAGCATCAAGTAGGTATAAAAATAGTGATGAGAAATTAATCTGTGAAGAAATTTGAGAGGGTGATGGCAGCATTTATGCAATCAATGAGCAGTCACTTCCCCCATGTGAGCCAACGGTCTCTGTCCCATGGACGGTGTGCCCATGGCGGGCTCACTTCTCCACGCGCCCGTCCCAGTGAGTCTGCAGGCCACAGGGACGCCCCCTGCAGCTTCCACAATAAGCTGCGTGTGCAGGAGTGAGGTCAGGGGGAGCCACCCCACCACAGGCCATGGATGTGGAGGGAATGAGGCTGCCTGGGCAAGCCCTGCCGCCCACAGGCTGTGATGCTCACACAAAAGAGAGGCTGGGAATGCAGCGGGGGGATACTTAGGACAGAAGCCCAAAGAGGAAAACGTAGGAGTCCTCAGGACTAGAAATCATTCTTCCCGACTCCCCCAAAATGCCCTTAAAAAACAGCCAGTTTCCCACTAGCTGCTTGTTGACCTGGGGCGAGCATCTGGCTCCCGTGGCCCAGGTGCAGTCACCCCACCCTGACAGCTGCCGGACTCCATGTCCAACACACGGGAGAGGTAGAATGCTTGGTGGCTGGCAGTTTTTTGTTTTTTTTTTTAAAAAGAGAGTGGACCACTTAAAAAAATCTTTGCATGGCTGGAGGAAGAAAGACCCAGAACAGTGGGTGGGCTCTGACGGACACCAGGGTCTTCTCCTGCTTGTCCCAGGAATGGCTTTCACGTTGCCAAGGAGAGAAGAGGATTAGTGATTTAAGACCCACCGTGGTGTTAGAAATGACAGTGCAGTTTCTTCTCTGAAACTCCCGGGGCTGCAGGCAGCTCTGAGCCCGTGGGAAGAGGAAGGACCTGCGCATCAGACCTCTAACAGGGAAAAAAGTCATGAGCTTGCTGAAACCGGTTTGGCTCAGTGGATAAAGCAGTGGTCTGCAGACTGAAAGGTCCCAGGTTCGATTCCAGTCAAGGGAATGTACCTTGGTTGCGGGCACATCCCCAGTAGGGGGTGTGCAAGAGGCAGCTGATCGATGTTTCTAACTCTCTATCCCTCTCTCTTCCTCTCTGTAAAAAAATCAATAAAATATATTTAAAAAAAAAAAGTCACGAGCTTGGGGACCTGCTACTGCTAACTCACTTCCCTATGTAGCAGGAGGGATGGATGCCCTTGCTCTTCTCAGGGCCTGGCTGTGAGGAGCTCCCCCCCCCCCCCCCCCCAGCCGCTGGCACCTGGGAAAGGGTGAGGGGGTGTGGCTGGCAGGTCTGGCTCTGCGCAGGGCAGCCGAGGAAATCAGGAGTGGAGTCGGTGCTGTTGAGACTCTGGATTTGACAAAAAAGGTACAAAATCCAGCGCCTTCCCCGGGAAACTTCATCTCACACAACCAAGGTCCTTGATAATCCGTATTAAGTGCGTGAATGACATCAGATACACCACAGGCTTATGACTCCTCCTTCCCCCCAGATCCCATCCCCCTGAGGAGAGGCCGGAGGAAATCCAGCCCCCACTTCTGGGCCTTGGCAAGGTGAACACCATTCCTGGGACCAGCAGGAGAAGACCCTGGTGTCTGTCAGAGCCCACCCGCTGTGCTCACCAGATGGACGGATGTACCCTCAGCACCCTCTCCCCCCCCCCCCACTCCTTACCCACTGGCACAATGGGCTTCCTGCTGGAGGACTGGAATTCATGCCTGAAAAACTGCAGCCAGTGTTGGTTCCTGGATGGACCAGGAGGGCCGCCTGGTGCCAACACCCTCGGTGGCGACGTCGTGTGTGTTCCGGAGGATGCATGCGGGAACTCTGCTTGCCACCCAGTTTTGCTGTGTACTTAATGGTGCTCTAAAAATTAGTGTTAAAACTGAAAGGTCCCAGGTTCGATTCCGCTCAAGGGCATGTATGTTGGTTGTGGGCACATCCCCAGTAGGGGGTGTGCAGGAGGCAGCTGAACGATGTTTTCCTCTCATCCATGTTTCTAACTATCTTTCTTCCTTCTCTTTGTAAAAAAATCAATAAAAATATATTTTTTAAAATGTTAAACCCCAGACTGCAGCCAGCTGGAATCTACCTGGGTGGAGGAGGAGGTGGGGGATGGGGGAGAAACAGGTCTTGTTCTAAAAGTGGTGCCTTTTGAGGACTGAGACCTTAACATGTAGACGTGAGCATTGTGCAGCCTGGAATGGAAAGAGCTAAGCGGGAATAGGTGACATCCCGACAGGGGAGCCAGCAGGGGAGGCCAGGAGAGGACTGGGAACCACTGTGAGACACGGTCAAGTGTCACAGGTGAAGGGCCTGAATGCCCTGTGCCAAGCTGTGCCGACTCGGGGACCCACCTGGGGGGCTGTCGGGCCCCGCTCTGTTGGCAGAGCTCTGGAGCGCCGCCAGCCGGCTCCTCACGTTGCGGAGGCCCTCGGCGAAGCGTGTCTCCTGGACCTTCAGCAGCTGCTGCAACTGGCGGATGGCCGTGAGGACCTGCTGCTTGCTGAGGCAGCTCTGGGGACAGAAGGACCACCACCCACTGTGGCTGGTTCACTCGTTCTCGGCTTCCAAAGCCACCCAGACCCCTGGCCCAACAGGAGGACGTGAGAGTGGCCTCCTGGGCGTCCTTCCCTGCCCAGGGTTCCCGCTGGACCAAATGACACCCCAACCACAGGCAGCGTAGCCCTGTACATCCTTCTACAAAAGCAACACTCCCATCTTCGGAGCAAAGGGCAAAACTGATGATTCTCTGTGACTGGGTGGGGGACGCTGGTTTGTACCCAAAGTGCCTTATATTCAGAAGCCTTCACTCCAAGACGACCCCTACTCTGCACGCTAAATCAACGCTCCAAATCTGAGCCTTTGTCAAGTTTTTTCTCCTTTGGACTTTTTAAAAGCAGGTAGGCAATAAAACCTATAAAACAGGCAAAACAGGAACTTCCATAGGCCCCATACTTTTAACAATATAACAGGGCAAATAAGAAAAAAAACTATAGAGTTAAAAAAGCATTCAACAAAAGTCAATGCCCAGTTCTGATGATGTTTTAGAAGCTTAACACACACACACACACACACACACACACACACACACACACACGAAAAAGCCCTAGCTGGTTTGAACATTGGCCTGTGGACTGATGGGTCCTGGATTGGATTCCAGGCAAGGGCACATGCTCGGGTTCAATCTCCAGTGTGGGGCACGCAGGAGGCAGCCAATCAATGATTCTCTCTCATCACTGATGTTTTGATCTCTCTCCCTCTCCCTTCCTCTCTGAAATGAATAAAAATATATTTAAAAACAAGGCTTGTGCTCTGCATGATAAAGACTAACTTAAAGCCACAGCTGCATCATACTGAGTGATAAAAGTTTTAAGGTTCCCAATCTCAGCTGAGGAGTGAGGCTGGAGGAGGGGGAAGTGCAGTGGGTGGTGACAGGATGCAGAGCTCACCTGGGGGCTGCGTGTCACCTCAGCGTGGCCGCGCCTGACCTGACCCGTTACCTGCACGGAAACAAAGGAGAACATTAAGACGGCTACGGCTGTTTTCTGTAAGGATAGGCTTATGGATCAGTTTTCATCTTATTTTTTTTATACTGCCTTTTTTTCTACACGATTATTAGTTTTATAATCTACGTTTTTTCTAAAAGGGCAGCAGGGCGGCAGGAGTCACGGGGCTTCTGGCCACCGCGGTGGAAACAGAGTGGCCACGGCTCTCCCAGGGAGCCTGCCAGGCCGCGGCACCTCGGAGGTTTCGCCAGCAGATGACTCAGCGGCCTGACTCAATGGGCGCTTTTGACAAAGCTGACTCCCTGGAACGCGTTAACCCACGGGGAATCCTTGGCTTCATCCGCCCCGACCAGGGCCTGATGGGGCCTGGCCCCCAATGCAGCTGCTGGGAAGAGAAGTTTTGTTGGTTTCCTTCTTCCTCCCCCTTCCCCCCACCCCCCTGTCCTTCCCACGCAGGCCCGGGCGCCCGTGCAGCGCCTCCGGCAGCCCCTGCCTGCCCAGCATTGCCCAGACATCCCGCTCAGGCCTCACTTCCCACACCCACGCCCCTCCCTTAAGAAAGAGCTGCTTTGATTAGGTGGCTTTTTGTGGCTTATGTGTGGTTGACACTGAGAAGTTCACTTCAGAGAGTACTAGTAGCTGGAGCAAGGCTTGGGATTGTGTCTGTCACCAATGAAGATACAGAGGCTGAAAGTCCAGCTTTCCCTTGAGATCATGGGGCTTAGGCGCTGTGGCGTCTGGCTGCCCCCCCCCCCCCCCCCCGCCGCTCCTATCTGCCACCCTAAGCGGTCAGCGACCCTCTGCCCTGTCTTGTGCCGTCTCATTTGTCCCCCACAGGCCCTTGGACGGTGAGTGGTCTTCTTGATTCATCTGAAATAGAAATGGGTAACTCGATGGCCCAAGCAAAATACCCCACAGGAGTGAATTTCTAACTCTGCCAATTTCAGGCTGGGTGGCCTGGATGGTGGAGCGGGAAGTGGAGAGGGAGTGGAAGAAACATCCCTCTCCACCTTGAGCCAAGCCAGCAGTGCCTCCCTGCTGGGAGAGGGCTCGCTGGGCTAGGCTGCCCGAAGGGACACAGAAGGGCTGTTTTAAAATTGGGGAGAGGAGGAGGAGATCGGTGCCAAGACCACTGTCGCGAACCTGGGGGTGGCATGGAGCCCCAGAAAGAAGGGAGCGTGTGTGGAGGGAACTAGGTGCAGCAGCTACATGTGTCTACGCCCGTGCATGTTGGGGCACAACCATCCTCTGGTCTAGGGGGCCCTCTTCCTGGGGCCCCCAGTCCCCGCACTGTGGAAAATGAGTACCAGCTGCTTTCCCCCTAAATGCACATTAGGCGTGAGAAGGGCTCATCCGGTCATAACGGAAAACCCTTCAGACCAAGCACACTAAGGCCATGTCCCAGGCGGGAGGGAGAGGGGCGTTGTGGGTGGACCTGCTGAGGGAAGGTTGGGTAGCCGAGGCCCATTTATTCCTGCCTCCAGCATCGCAGGAGTGATGCTAGCAGAGGGAGATCCTTGAGAGCCTAGAAATAAATCCATGCAAAGATGGTCAATTATTAGTGCAAAGGAATCAAGAATACACAACGGGGAAGGAAAACAGTCCCTTCAACCGATGGTGTTGGGAAGACAGGACAGCCACAGACAAAAGAATGAAATGGGACCCACCATACACAAAAGTCAACTCAAATTGGAATAGACTTGAATGTAAGATGTAAAACCATAAAACTCGTAGAAGAAAACAAGTGGAAAACTCCTTGACACAGTCTTGGTAATTATATATTTTTGGGATTTGACACCAAAAGCAAAATAAGCAAGAAGGACTACATCAAATGAGAAAGCTTTTATACAACAAAGGAAACAAACCATCAATCAAATAAAAAGGCAACCTACTGAATGGGAGAAAATATTTGCAAGTAACACATCAGTTAAGGGATTAATATTCAAAATATATAAATAACTCACACAACAGAACAGCAAAGAAACCCAAAGAATCCTATTAAAAAATGGGCTGAGGCCTGGCTGGTGTTGCTCAGTGGTTGAGCATTGAGCTATGAACCAGGAGATCATGATTCCATTCCCAGTCAGGGCACATGCCTGAGTTGAGGGTTCGATTCCCAGAAGGGTGTGTACAGAAGGCAGCTGATCAACTATTCTGTGTCATCACTGATGTTTCTATCTCTCCCTCTCTGAAATCAATAATTCTATATGATAAAAGGGTAATATGCAAATCCACGAAACAGCGAACTGACGCTCAACGCAGGAGCTGCCCCCGGGTGGTTAGTGCACTCCTACAGGGGGAGCACCGGGCTCATGGCTGGCGAGCAAAGCGGTGGTGCCTGAGCCTCTCCCACTCCGACTGTGGACATCCCCCAAGGGTTCCCAGACAGAAAGAGGTGCAGGCTGGGCTGAGGGAACTCCCCATCCCCACCAATGCACAAATATTTGTGCACTGGGCCTTTAGTATAGACAAGGATCTAAATAGACATTTTCCCAAAGAGGACATGACTAACAGGTACATGAAAAGGTGAGTGACATCATTAATCAATCATCAGGGAAATACAAATCAAAATCACAATGAAATAGCACCTCACACCTGTCAGAATGGCTATCATCAATAAATCAACAAACACGTGTTGGTGAGGATGTAGAGAAAAGGGAACCTCCCACTGTTGATGGGAATACAGATTGGTGCAGCCACTGTGGAAAGCAGTATGGAAGTTTTTCAAAAATTAAAAATATAGCCCTGGCTGACATTGCTCAGTTGATTGGGCATGGTCCTGTCCACTAAAAGGTTGCCAGTTCAATTGATGGTCAGGGCACATGCCCAGGTTTTGGGTTCAATTCTTGGTAGGGGATGTGCAGGAGGCAGCCAACTGATGTTTTGTTCTCACATCAATGTTTCTCCCTCTCTCTTCCACTCTCTCTAAAAATCAATTTAAATTTTTAAATTAAAAATACAGCTATCTTATGACCCAGCAATTCTACTTCTGGGTACTTATCTAAGGAAAATGAAAACTGTCATTAAAAATGCACTCCTATGTTCACTACAGCATTCTTTTCTCTCTCTCTCTCTCTCTCTCTCTCTCTTTTTTTTAATTGATTTTTAGAGAGAAAGGAAGGGAGAGGGAGTGAGCGAGAGAGAAACATTGATGAAGGGAAACATCCACCAATTACCTCCTACAAGCCCTATTAGGGACTGAGCCCAAAACCCAGGCATGTGTCCTGACTAGCAATTGAACTGGCAACCTTCCTGGACATGGGACAATGCAAAACCAACTGAGCCACACCGACCAGGCTACAGCATATTCTCAACAGCCAGGACATGGATAGAGTCTAAGTGCCCACTGATGGATGAATGGAAAAAGAATGTGATATGATATATATATATGCATGCACACTTTGAATAATTATAAAGGCAATGTTTAATAAAATACATTTCATTTTCACAATTGAGCTATCAGCTGTTAAAATGTATATATATATATATATATATATATATATATATATATATATACAATTCCCTGCATATACAATTCCGCCATAAAAGATGAAGAAAATCCTGCGATTTGCAACAATATGGAAAGACCTTGAGGGCCTTATGCTAAGTGAAATAAGTCAGACAAAAAAAGATAAATACTGTATGATCTCACTTGTATGTGGAATGTAAACAACAACAACAACAACAAAAATTCTCTCTCATAGATGCAGAGAATAAATAGGTGGTTGCCAGAAGCTGGGGTTGGGTCGTCGTGAAAATAGCTGAAGGTGGTCAAACGATAAAAAGTTCCAGCTATGGGTCCTGGGGACCTAATGTACAGCAGGCGGTGTAGTCAACATATTTGAAAGTTGCTATTTGAAAGTTGCTAAGAGAGTAGATCATGAAAGTTCTTATCACAAGAAAAACAATTTGTAATTATGTGAGGTGATAGACGTGAACTAGACTTACGGTGGTGATCATTTCACAATAATAATATATGCACATATCAAATCACTAAGCTGCACACCTGAAACTAATACAGTGCTGTATGTCAATTACAGCTCAGTACAACTATTAATAGAAGAAACAAAAAGAAAAGCCCCCAAGAGGGGGGAATAAAGGAAGGTCCTTGAGGTCTTGGCAGCCAGCACGGGGTCTGGGCCAGGTACCAGGGAAACAGATTTAGTGCCTGCAGACGTGTTGCTTGATGAGTTGGCTGCAGCTGCTATTCCAAGGGTGGCTCCCTGATCCCAAAGTGCTAAATGGAGCCCTTGGGAGCCATGCTCAGCATCTGACACCTGTCGTTACCTGAATTCACCTGCAGAGCCAGGTGCTCAAGGGGTCTGCATTATGGGCACAAATGGGGCCGTGGAGGGCACAGGAGACCTGAGTGTGTCCCCTTTTCAGATCGAGAAGGCTTTATCATGTCACTTGGTCATAAAGCATACGCCCTACAAAACATTAAGACAAAGAACAAACCCCGTGACCAGCGACACCACTGCTAACTGCTGTTGGTTTTCTCTTTTGGATGGGACACACGTGCACACACGAGGGTCATCACCAGACGCTGGACCACAGGGCACAGGCTCCGTCCGCTTTCTTGTGGACATTGGGCTGTGGCTCCGTTTCACACCAAGGAAAAGAGCAGCTTATCAGACCCGAGCCTGGATACTACGTCTGCTCCTCTGTGCTCTTTCAGTCTGGGGAGGGGCTCCTTGCTCCCTCCACCTGTCTGCCCGCTTCCCTCCCACACTCACCGCATCCCCAGCTCTGGATCACGAGGAGCCTGGGACTGAAAACAAACCATTTCCTCCACAAATGCAGCCTGGATGAGGTCACTGGGGGGATGTGGGGGCCTCGGAGGCTCAGGGACACGAGCAAGTCGGACCCTCAGGTGTCACCACCTGCACTTCAGCCTGGCCCTGCCACAGCAAAGGGCTGGCTTTGGGCAGTCCCTTTCCATCTCAGGGGCCCAGATCCTAACTGCAAATCAACCACAGCTCACTGCCCTTCCA